AGAAAGCAATTAATTAGCAATTACTTGTTTTTCTAGCCGTTGCATTATACCGTTAGAATATTGTATATATATACTGTACAAATTCAGCAAATCAAGTAGGAAAAAGGCAATATTTTTCTATATGGTATCAGAGCATTGATCCCTAATCTCCTTTTTTTTCAGAAACACTGACCTCGCCATTACAATGGGTGAGGAAAATACTGCCGCTGTCGGTAAAGTTTCAGGCAAAGAAAGCCAAACCCAAGGCCTGCTTGTACTCGACTCCTCTTCGCCCTATTTCCTCCATTCCTCTGATCATCCAGGTTTAAACCTGGTTTCCAGCCTATTAAATGAGGCAAATTACTCCACTTGGGTGAGAGCTATGACTAATGCTCTTCGGGCAAAGAATAAATTTTGCTTTGTTGATGGAACCTTGTCTCGTCCATCCAATAGATCTGCATATCTCAGTCACTGGGAAAAGTGCAACTCGTTGGTGATCTCTTGGCTATATAACTCTCTTTCAACTGAATTACATGGGAGCGTGGCTTATGCAGACACTGCTCGAGAGATATGGATAGATATAAAGGAAAGATTTTCTCAAGGGAACGCACCTAGAATACATGAATTAAAGAGGGCCTTGGCTATCACATATCAGGAGAATCTCTCTGTAGCTGCTTACTATACCAAACTCAAAGCCATATGGGATGAACTTTATTCATACTCTCCAATTTCGGATTGCACTTGTGGAGCGGCTAAGGATTTCTTGAAGGTAAGGGAGGAGGAAAAGGTACATCAATTTATTCTTGGACTTAATGATAATTTTAGTAGTGTTCGATCTCATATTTTGGGTACAGAACCCCTCCCAAACATTAGCAAAGCATATGCCTTAGTTACACGGGAAGAAAGAGAAATTTCTCTTTGTGCCTCACGGCCAACAAATGTAGAATCTGCTGCTTTCAATGTGAGATCACATATAAATCATCATGCAAATCAGCTTGATTCCATGGGTTCATCATCAACGCCTCGTGCAAATCCAAAATTGTGTGATCATTGTGGAAAGTCAAGCCATACCAAAGAGACATGTTACAAGTTGATAGGATACCCACCAAGAGATGGACAACAGGACAATAATACAAGGATCAAGATGGATAGTAACCAGAAGGATAGAAGGCGTATTTTTCCAAGACAAGGGAATTTCAAAGCCGTGAATCAGGTCTCACAAGTACCCACAAATGCTGCACCTATGATTTCTGGACTCACTCAAGATCAAGTGAACCAACTGATCTCATTACTTGGTACTGAAAAGAAGCCCTCCTTAGATGACTTTTCTGGTAAGAAGTTCATGAACTTGTGTGATTGGATATTGGATAGTGGTGCATCTGATCATGTTAGTAGTTGCAAATATAAATTTAAGCACATACATCATTTAAATTCCAATCAACATGCTAAAATTCCAAATGGAAAATTTGTTCCAATTCAAAGCACGGGATTAGTTTCCCTTGCACCAAATCTTACTATTGATAATGTTCTTTATATTCCTGAATTTACTTGTGACCTTATCTCTGTCAGCAAGATAACTAAAAATTTAAATTGTGCTGTAATATTCTTACCAACCTTTTGCATATTACAGGACCTCACAACGAGGAAGCTGATTGGGATGAGTGAAATGCATAATGGTCTTTATTATTTCAAGCCTTTCAAAGCAATTTCTATTTCAAATGTAACTACCTCACCTTCGATGGAGCTTTGGCACCAAAGATTGGGGCATCCTTCCTTTGATAGACTTTCTTTACTATCTAATAAAGTCTCATTTGATTTTAAGACTTTTCTTGAATGTTGCGATACTTGTCATCGAGCAAAGCAAACTAGGAATATTTTTCCTCTTAGTAATAAAAGAGTTGAATCCCCTTTTCTTTTAATTCATTGTGACATTTGGGGCAAATATCAAACTCCTTCTCATTTTGGAGCTTATTATTTTCTTACCATTGTTGATGATTTTAGTCGTGCTACATGGGTATATCTTATAAAATTCAAATCTGAAGTCTATCGTTATTTAATCATGTTTATCAATATGGTCAAAACACAATTTGGATTGCAGGTTAAGCAAATAAGGTCCGACAATGGACAAGAATTTCTTTCTAAACCTATGCAGGATTTTTTCCACTCTCAAGGCATTGTACATCAAACCACTTGCGTCTACACACCACAACAAAATGGAGTAGTGGAACGAAAACATAGACACCTCTTGAATGTGGCAAGAGCATTGCGTTTTCAAGCCAATTTACCTATCTCTTTTTGGGGAGAATGTGTACTCACAGCTGCATATCTCATCAATTACACGCCTACACCACTACTTGATGGTAAGACTCCCTTTGAACTTCTCTTTGGTAAGTCTCCATCTTACACACATCTTAAAGTATTTGGTTGTTTATGTTATGCTCGTAACTCTATATCACATAACAAATTCCTTCTTAGATCTGCAAAATGCATTTTTATTGGTTATCCACAAGGTAAGAAAGGATATCGTATTTTTGATTTGACCACTAATCACATTTTTGTCTCTCGTGATGTTGTTTTCTACGAGAATATGTTTCCTTTACAGCAATTAAACTCTCAGCAAAAAATTGGGATCCCACAAACAATTCTTTTTGATGATGATGGATTAGCAACAAAGGGTCATTCCACATGTGCCAAATTACATGAGCAACAAGAATCAAGCCCTTGCACCAGCCTAGCTCATGAACATACTGCACCATGCGAGAACCCATGCGACATGAATGGGCCAGAGCATGGCGTAGAAGCCATTCGAAGGCATGTTGAAAATAATTCCCAGTGTGAAACACATCAACCTCAACGGGAGAAAAAGAAACCTGCCTACCTCATTGATTACATCTTGAATGGGGTTCAAACTTCAGTAAGTGAATCAACAAAAATTCCAGGTACACGACACCCGATCACTCATTTTGTTTCCTATGAAAAATTTAGTCCATCTCACCGCTCCCTTCTAGCTGCCATCTTTATCGAAGATGAGCCACAATCTTTTTCTCAGGCCATGCAAGATCCCAAATGGAGACAAGCAATGAAAGATGAAATAGATGCTCTTGAGAAAAATAACACTTGGACTTTGGAGATGCTACCTCTTGATAAGAAACCCATAGGCTGTAAGTGGGTATACAAAATAAAATACAATGCTAATGGTACAATTGAGAGATACAAGGCTCGCCTAGTTGCAAAAGGATTCACTCAAGTTGAAGGGATTGACTATCATGACACATTTGCCCCAGTCGCTAAATTAGTTACTGTTCGCTATTTGCTTGCTGTGGCTTCCATCTTCAATTGGGAACTACATCAATTAGATGTACATAATTCCTTTCTACATGGTGACCTTGATGAAGAAGTTTATATGAAATTGCCTCTCGGTTATGGTCATCAAGGAGAGCAACGAGTTTGTCGTCTACGAAAATCCCTATATGGGCTTAAACAAGCATCTCGAAATTGGTTTGCAAAATTTTCTTCTGCTTTAAAATCTTTCGGTTTTCAACAATCTTTAAGTGATTACTCTCTCTTTACTTACAATCATGGAAATAATTTTCTTGCAGTTCTAGTCTATGTCGATGATTTAATTATTGCAGGTACAAGCTCCTCTCTCTGTCAGAGTTTGAAAGATTTTCTACATGCCCACTTCCACCTTAAGGACCTAGGAAAATTAAAATATTTTCTTGGTATTGAAGTTGCTTGACATCCATCTGGAATTTTTCTCTGTCAGCGAAAATACACTCTTGATATCTTGACGGAATCAGGGATGGTGGGAGCTAAGCCTTGCAAATTTCCAATGGAGCAAAAGCTCAAACTTAACAGGGATGAGGGTCGCACCATATCCAATCCTATACAATACCGTCGACTCATTGGAAAACTTATCTATTTGACTATAACTCGACTTGATATATCTTATGCTATTCATATTTTAAGTCAATTTATGCAAGAACCCAAACAGCCCCACATGGATGCTGCCATGAGAGTCTTACGTTACTTGAAATCTTCCCCAGGCCAAGGCATTTTCTTGTCGTCAACAAGCTCACTTCACCTCTCTGCCTTTTGTGACTCTGATTGGGCTAGTTGCCCAATGACAAGGAAATCCACTATAGGCTACATCACCATGCTCAGCAACTCCCCAATCTCTTGGAAAACTAAGAAACAAACTACTGTATCAAGATCCTTTGCTGAAGCTAAGTATAGAGCAATGGCATCCACTGTTAGTGAACTACTATGGCTAAAGGCACTGTTGCGAACCTTAGGAGTTCATCCTCCTCAGCCGATTAAACTATATTGTGACAACCAAGCCGCTCTACACATTGCCACCAATCCAGTCTTCCATGAACGAACAAAGCACATCGAACTTGACTGCCACTTTATTCGTAATTGGATACAAGCTGGTGTTATCTCACCTTCACATGTCCGCTCTCGGTTCCAAATTGCTGACATCTTCACCAAAGCATTGGGAAAAGAGCAATTTTAGTTCCTTCTATGCAAGTTGGTTATCTACAACTTACATGCTCCAACTTGACGAGGGGGTATTAGCTGCATATACAGCACAGCCATCGCAGCATATCAATTGCAGCATATCAAGGTCATCCCT